TGGGATTTATGTAAAATCTATATACAATCAATCATTAGAGCCTTTCAAAAACCCAAAGCCCCTGAAAACAAAATGGCAAAGCTAAACAAAGACATTACAAAGCTAAGTAAGGAGCTTGTAGCAAACTCCTCAAAAGAACACCTTAATAAAAACATAGAAAAACTTAATCTTCAAATACAAGAGAAACTAACTAAGATGGCTGAGTTATGATTAATTCGGTCAAAAACAAAATGAATCAAAAATGGAGAAAAGTCAACAAAATATTTCTTCTCAAAATACAAAACAAGAAAGTCACAAAATGCCCAGTCTAGAATTGAAATATCTAAAACTTTAAGCTCAGAAAATGAAAATACATTTATATATTAAAAACCAATATATGAAAATCTACAAAAACGAAGACATAGATCTTAAGGCAGCAGAAAAGATTACTGAAAGTCTTTCTCAAGTACCATGAGACCAAAATGACAACTTAGTTAAAAGAATTTCATAGGAATAAATAATCCAAGCAATATAAAGCCTTTCTAATAACAAATTACCTGGCACTGATAGGCTAACTTACGAATTCTACAAACTTATATTATCAGAAATAGCACTAGTCTTTGAAAAGTTGTTCAATCAAGTACTAGATACTAGTTGTTTACCTGATTCATAGTGCAGAAACATAATCATACTAATTTCCAAAAAGTCAGAAAACTTAAAAGACTTAAACAACTGGTGTCCAATCTCACTAGTAAATTGCAATACTAAAATTTTTATAAAAATTATAGCAAATAGGCTTAACATAATCTACAAGAAAATTATCTTTAATTACTAGCAAGAATTTGTTTCCAGAAGATCAATAACGGACACAGTCTTGGATATAATTACCACATTAAGAAACCAATCAGACAGCTCCAAATAGCACTGAATGCTTTTAGTAGATCAGCAAAAGGCTTTTGACAGAGTGAATCATAACTTTCTAAACCTGGTTCTAAGAAAAATGAACTTTGATAAAAGAATGACTAACTTGGTAACCAACCTCTTTTCAAACCAAATGATACACATTATAGAAGCCAATGTCCTATCTGAACCTTTTAGAGTAGAAAAAGAAGTATGACAAAAGGATTCACTTTCCCTTCTATTATATGTATTCGCATTTGAACCACTACTTATACAACTAGAAAAAAACATTTAAGGAATTCCTTTAAAAAACCAGTTTTTTAAACTGTTAGCTTATGCAGATGACTTAACAATACAAATAAGCTTATCATCAGACTGGATAAACATTATGCAACTTTTTGAAATCTACAAAGCTGCCTCTAATACAAAAATTAACAAAAACAAAACCAAATTAGTGCTTCTTATAAATACAGCCTGTAAGATCTAACTTAAAGACAAATCCCAATTTACTAAAACTACAGAACAGAAAACACTAACAATTCTTGGGTATAAAGTAGATACAAAAAACATTCCTAAAAAAGACTTATGGACAACAACAATCATTAAGATAAAAAAGATACTAGAAAAATCATCTGATTGAAATCTTTCTTTTAGAGAAAAAATCCTTTTAGCTAAGGCACTTATATTTTCACAGATATGATATGCAGCATACCTGACTCTACTAAGTAAAAAACAAATTACAGAAATCAACAGACTTATGATACTCTGAATTAAAAACAATTCCAGAATGCTGCCTAGATACTCTATATTCCAACAATTACTTGAACAAAATAACTTTCAAGCCTCAATAGTAGGAAATATGCTAGATGCTAAACTAATCTTAGTATAAAAAAAACTCCTTACTAGTGACTTTATATAGGCCAAATATGAAAGAGAAAAAATCACAGAAATCTTATTCAAAAAAAGGAACATATCAATAAACCAGGCATTAAAAACAGATGCTATTAGATCAAAAGCCTGGCCAAAAGAATAAAAACCATACCTGTTAGCTTGAAAAAAGGCTAAAGGCAAATTTATTGTGACAATGAGCTGATCTTAGAAGCTCAAAGATATTGAAATAGAAAAACTTAATGAAGAAGAACTTTCAGTTAAGAAAATTATTAAAATTCTAAGAAAAAGGCTGACATTGGAGCCATCTAATTCTAGCCAACACTCTAACTGAATGTTAGTTAGAAAACAACTAACAAGAAAAAGGATATTTTATAGTACCTTTTTCATAAAGCTTTATTATTAGGATACCAGCTATAGCATATAAGTTCTTTTATTACAAAAAACTGTCTCTGGTATAACAATGAGCTACAAACTGCTAAGCACTTTGTACTTAAATGTAAAGTTAGTAAAAAAATATGAAAACAGGCCTATGGCCTTCTAAAAACTAACCAAGCTGAAACCCCTTGACCTTTATAGAAGAAATTTTTACAACAACAAACATTATAAATAATGAAAGCAAACAAGCCACTCTCTGGTTGCATACAAACATAATTTATAAAATATGGTGCACTTACACCTCTTTTAAATGAGAAGACAGCAACCTTTCAAGCAGAATCCTACCCCTAATAGTAATTAAACATCTTCGCAAAGATATACATACTCTGTACCACAATCTAAAAAACTGTTCCCAAAAAATGAAAAATATATATAAATATATACAATGTTCTTAATAATTTGATTTTAATAAAAGAGTGCCACATGTGCCTCTAGATATTAATACCAGGAATAAATAAAAAATAAAAAAATTTAATGATTATATCTTCTCTTAGCCTTTTACTTATCTAATAATATTTGTTAATTGTAATTAATATTAACAATTAAAAAAGTAATTTAAAATAATACAAACAATTTCAGATTCTTTTAAAATATTTTTATTTTTATTGCAGCTTGCCAGGATAGTCTAGTAATATTTAAAAAGATAAATAGAAAAATATTTAATAAATTTATAATTGATAAAAAATATTTTTTGAAATATTAAAAAACCAATATAAAAATACCAAGTATTAAATATTTAGTTATAAAATTAATATATCTTGAAAATTATAAATGAGTAACAAATTATTAAAATATTCAAAATATTGTACAAATATGTACAAATATGTACAAATATTTAAAATATTTTAAATTAATTTCAAATATAAAACATTAAAATTATACTTTTTTAGAGTCTTTTGAAATTTTACTTTCTTCAGAACTTAATATATCATCTTTCATTATTTTCTAACTTTTTCTAATAATAATAAAAATTTTGGTTATATAAATAAAAATTTTAGAATAATATAATAAATACATATCAAATTTCTTAAAAGTTTGTGTTTTGTAATATTTTCAGAAATCATTAAACTATCTTTCATAGGATCAAGTATAGTTTGACAAACTACTTATAACATATACAACTTTTTTTAGAATTGTATTGCCAGAGAGCCAAATCTTGTTTAATATAAGTAACATATAAGTATCTTCTGAGTCTTCAGAAATATTTTTAAATAGTTATTTATAACAAGATTTGGTTTCTTCAGATCATTTCCACTCAAGAACAATCTTAGGTTTTGCTTTATTATTAATAGGGAATAAGAGATTTCTAAATACAGTAAACATAACATTCTTAATCTTGATAATTAAGATACTCTTCAATAATCTAAATTTTTTTTTTGAAAATTAAATTTAAATTTCTAACTAAAATTTTATCAAGTTTGATATAATAATTGTTAAAATATTTTTAAAATTGAAACCGTTTTATATAGAAAAAATTTGACTTTTTTATTAACCTTTTCCCATATATCAAATTAAATAAAAACAAATTAAAATTAGAATTTATCTTAAATGTCAAATAGATTTTCTCAAAATTTAAACTATATAACAAAAAACATATATTAATTTTAAAAATAAAAAAATTAAATGAATATATGGGCTATAGAAATGCAATGCATCCATAAGAAAGCATAGTAATAATTTTCTGTAGAAAACGTTTTTTTTTCCAGAACCGTCCGTTCGTTATAAAAAGAGTCAAAATTCTATTTAGATTGTATAACTAAAAATAACAAAGAAAAAATACTTGAAGACTTGAATGGTTATAAGACATTTCTAGATAATTTCAATAGAAAAATAGTAGTCAAAGCAAACCTAGCTTGTAAATAATATATACAGTAAATTGATTACTAATCTACGTATTCGTAAATTAAGAATCACGTAACACAAAATACTATACAATGTGACGCAGTAACAATCAAACTTACGTACCCGGTACAAATCAAGGGGGATATTCAATTTTATATTATGCTTGGAATTTGAAAACTGGGTAAGATTTTTTAAGAATTTAGAGTATGGGTGGCATGCATAGACATCACTTAGCATGAGGATTTAGCGTACGATATTATTAGTTTTAGTAAATATGAATTTGTTAGTTATAGATCAAACCCAGGATATTGGATAATCTATAGGTTCAAGGTTTAAGCCAATAGCTTAAATTATGCAAATTCGGATTTAAAAATTAGATTAATATGTCGAACTATCTCTACGTATAAGCATTCCGTTTTTAACAAAGCATAGTGAAGCATTTTGTACTATAACGGTGCTAGTAGAGTTGGAGGCACAAGGTTGAGAGGCATGCCCTTTGACCAAAAGGCATACCTCTATCATGTGATATAGAGCTATTATATAATTGGCTAATTAGAAGTAAAGCCTACTATTGCTATTGCTAATTACGATAAGATATGATATATATCTATAGAGGCATGCCCTTGGCATAGAAGGGCATGCCCAAAAAATTTGCCGTGCCTCCAACCCTAAAGTTTAGGCACATCGATATGTTTATACTTTAATGAAAAGTTTATTGTATTTGAATCGGGTTCTGTTGCACAATCTAGTGTTAAAGCAATTCATTTACTAATATAACTCAGAATATACATCAGTGTTGCCAAATTAAAATTTGAAAGCATAAGAATTTACTATGATCAATTACTGGTTTTAATTTGACGACACTCATATATAGAATCTTTAACTAATTTATAAAAGATAATCCGCTAATGTTTATTATACATGTGACATTTGTCAGCGTATTTAAAAAAAGATCACATGGCATTCAAACTCAACAACCATGGATGATTTTTAATTTCTTCTAAACTTGGTCTTCTTTCTGGTATATTTTGCAAAATCTTTTTAACCAAATCTTTTGCATCTTCACTAATAGTCCCTCGTTTATCAGCCGTTTTTGATTCCGGAAATTTAAAATCAGCTTTAATAATTTTACTGAAAAATTGTTTCCGCGTTTTGCCGACTTCTTGATTAAAGGGTAAATATCCTACCAATAATGCATATAAAATAATTCCTAATGACCATATATCTGTTTTTCTACCATCATATGATGATGCTGATATTAATTCTGGAGCAGCATATTCTTCTGATCCACATCGGGTGGTCAAAAGTGGTGCTTTTGGATTGATAAATCTCGCTAATCCAAAATCCGTTAATTTAATACACTTTTTGTTTGGAGATGGACCTGATGATTCAAGTAAAATGTTTTCTAATTTAAGGTCTCGATGAACTATATTAGATTCATGAAGGTAACTAACGGTATTGACTAATTCGTAAAAGATTTGTTTAACTTCATCCTCTGTGATTTTTTCATAGTGATCATTTACATAATCAAATAATTCACCGCCTGGAACATATTCAAGTACTAGACAAAGATGTTTTGGTGTCTCAACGGTATCTAACAGACTAACAATATTTGGATGATTGATGTACTAATAAGAAAAATGTTGGTTATTCGATCGTTCGATTATTAGATGATTATTATTATTATTATTGTTATTATTATATTTTTATCGTTATCATTGTTATTTAAAAATAAATACATCAAATCAAGATTTACCTCTAAAATTTTGATTTCCCGTGAAACACCAGTTTTCAAACACTCATTTTCTTGCATTTCTTTCAAGGAGATCATTTTTATTGCGACTTCTCTGCAATTTTTCAAGTCTATAGCTAATTTTACTTCTGAAAAGGAGCCAGTTCCAATAAGTTTCAAAACAGCGTAATGGCCGATCAATTCAGTATAATTTGGCAGTCCAAGTTTCATCAACCTTTGCTGTAACATATGATGACCAATTATAGGTCCCATATCATCATTTGAACGATGATTACCGTTACTTGTATGATTTTTTGATGAAAGCTTGTTTATAAGTAAATTGGTATCTGATATAGTACGATGATGCTGATATTTCTTGCTTCCAATGCTCAAATTAGATGAATTAATTTTCTCTCTGACAGTATGACGTTTAGATGTTGGAAAATCATGAACAGAGGTTGCGGGACTGGGTAAAGTAGTTAACGAATCATCCGAAGCTATGCGTCGATTATGGTGTTTTTTTTTTGAATCTGAATGAGACTGTGCACTTGATCCAGAACAATCAAAATTTGTGCTAATCGGTGGAAGTGCCCTTTTGGCCGTTCCTGCAACGGAAACCACTTTCGTTACATCGTTATCAACTGATGATGTCCCATTTACATCATCATTATTATCATAATCATCGTCATCATTTAGATCACCTAATGTAGCGAAATGCCTTTTGGCTGAATTGTCAGCGTAATTGTCAAATATCTGTTTCATTGGGGAAGAATTCAAAATGACTTTATCATAAGATCTAGGATCATTATCAGCAATAATGTTTTTTGACGGATCTGATAAAATTGGCATGCTTTTAATGGATATGAAGTTTCTATTTATTCAATTGTTCTGTAACCGTGGAAATTTTAATTAAAAGATTTAAAAAATTTTTTAAATGGTAAATGTTATAAAAATTCTAAGCCCTTTGTGAAATCTACAGTACCGGACAGCAAAAAACCCAATTTTTTTTCAAAAGCGCCGAATTTCGAGTTTATATAATCAAATATGATAAATATGATTGGCTAATTTTGTGTAATGAATTCTGATTGGTGAAAAATATACCGGGTGTTTCAAAAGTTCCCCTTTTTTTAAGTGACATTATTTATGCAAATGTATATATATTTGCATCATGACTCTATATCGATATAAGGGGTCTTTGCCTTGAAAATCAAGTTATGAGACAGTAAATTATGTCTAAACTTGATTTTCAAGGCAAAAAAAACCCAATAAGGTCACTTAAAAAAAAAGGGACCAGTAGTGGAACTTTTGAAACACCCGGTAGATAAAAAACTTTTTTTTTACATATTGAACAACCAAACATAAACAAAAATAAGAAATTCCATATGATTATGTAACAGACTTAAACATAACCAGTTTAATAACAATATTGATATTCGACATTGTCAATAACGTCAAAATGTTGACAATTATAACGAATGAGTTTGCCTGTGGTATTTTTATAGGATTTTATTGGATCAAAATTCCAAAAAATTAGCCAACTCGTATCTTATTGAACCAATTAATAATTAATTGACATCAACGCCATTTTATTCATTTTGATGAAGGCGCTGCTATGGCTTTCCAATTTTAGACAGTCATGTATGTAATCCCCCAATTCATAATCCTGTTTGAAAATAAAAGGATTTATTTTCTTATGTGAATTAAAAAATTTATTTAGTATTCACCGGAGGTGCTATATGGTTTAATTATTATTATATGATCTATAGAAAATTTTACCTCAAATTTTAAACTTCGAGGTTAGGGTTTAAGGAAAGTAAAGTAAAAGTCAGGGTTTCTTTGGGTGTTAAACATTTTTACTTAATTTACCGAATATCGATTACCCAAGCCATTTCTGAGTCGGTGAATTTCACCTTCGGTGAGCGTTAAAATCATCCAAAAAAAAACTTTTTTCTTTTCTTTTTATTTCTTTTTCTTTTCTTTTTATTATATAAAGCAAAAAGCGTAGTTTTCTTAAATTCTTTACTGCGCTTACCAGTAAGAAATTCGATAGAAGATCCGTCACAAACCGGTACTATAATGTAATGTAACGCAAATTACTATATAAATCCTATAAGTTAGCATTAAAAGTCAATCTAAGGAAATCTTTTTTTTTTTAAGACGATTGATATTTGGACTTTAAGTAAAATTGTAAAGCTCGTTGAGGTGAACCTAGCATTGGTTAGATCATTAAAATTGATTTAGTACGTAGATACTGAAATATCATCAAAAAAGGATTCACCAATATATATAATTTTTTATAAACAATAATATAAAACCTTAACGTTCTCGAGATTCAGTGTTATCTTAATAAAAAAAAAAAGATTAATTTTTTTTTTAATTTCTATTTATAATACACAATTTGTATTAGTTTATATTGTATTATAATTATAGGTAGAGTTTTGTGATTTGATTTGATTTGATCAAATATTTGAGTTTAAATTAAATTTAAATCTAAATTTTTTTTTTTTTTAATATTAAAGGTGAGTACTTGTGATCTAGGTTTTTATTGATAGTATGTTTTAGCTTTGTGATTGTATTACAATAACTATAGGAGGCAACCATAAGAAGAGTATACAACTAGCCACTCATACAACTTTAGTTATTATCTAATTTAAGTAGTTTGCTTAAAGGTTTTACACTAGTTGTCATACTTAGAACTTGTTTGTAAGTTTTCTATTTAAACACTCTGGTTCCTGTATTTATTCATCTATTTATCCTATTAACTGTTCCAGTTTTCACCAATGTACATTTACTATAATTATTAGGTCTTTAAAACAGTTTACTTATATAGAGAATTTTTAATCTTGTATTAAATTTTAAAGTTTTTTGTTACTTAATTTTTAATTGATTTAATATTACTATGGTTAAGACCAACATTTGTAATTAAGATAATCTTTAAACCATTACATCTTTGTAGAGTTTATATAACCTAGTACTTCTTTTTACAACTTTATCAGTATTTTGTATGTTCTTGTAAGTTTTTTTATACTACTAATTCAATTAGTTTTATATAATACAATTTCATATTTAGTTCAATCAATAACCAGATTGGTAGATTTTTTATCTAGGGTTTTTGCTTATACAGGTTATCTGTTTTAGGTTTCTGTCTTCAGATTAAGATTTTTATAGGTAATACTATTAAAGATTATACTACCTCTTTACTTTTTTTTTTTTTTTTTTTTTGGAGTTAAGGTGAGGTCATGCCTCAAGTCTGTTTATTCGAACATATTGTTACAGTTT